TTTCATTTTTTATTATGCCAAACAATGTTGCTGAGATTTAGTATGGATGGAATATCGCACCCAAAAAAAATCGCAATTCAAGAGAATAAAATGAATGTCTACACACGACACAGGTATTTTTAACTGAATTTGAAATGAGCCAAGCGATGAATAATAATAAAAGAGAAAAAAAAAATCATGAATTTTTATCCATTTTTTTTCCTCTCAAATATTTAATCAACATAAAGACAACAGAATGAAAATTTACTTTCAGAATTTTTGTGTTTTCATAAATCGATCCGCATGAAGACATTTAGTCGTTCATATCTAAAACGAGGAAAACAAAAAGGTAAAAAGTATGTACATTCATTTATGTGTATGAACAATGATTATTGAAAAATCATCAAGATCGTTTCGAGTAACAGAGAATGCGAGTGGAAAAGAGAAAGAAGTAAAGAGATTCAAGGCAAATGTCGACAAATGAATTGCCTAAAAGGTGTAAACTGAAAAAAGCAACATGAGAATTGCGTCTAAGATGTAAAGAAAGAAACTCTTGAAAAAAAAAAAAAGTTTAAACAAATGTGGCAACAGCGGAATCTAGAAAACTTTTCCTTACTCTTCATCTAACATTCAGTGTGAATGCGCTGGAAATTAAATTAGACAAGTATATCGGGAATCAAGAATCGAGAGAAAGAAACACTCGAGTGTGTGTAAGAGAAAAGAAAACATAGAAAATTGTAAAGAAGAGCATGAAAAAGTTTTTTTTTTTGTGGATAGAAGAAATCTTGATAAGTCTAAAGCGAGAAATTGGATTTTCATAGCTACTGGTTGTTGAGCTGTTGCTATAATACCACTCTTATGATTACGGGATTTGTCAAATAATGATGTGGAATTTTAATTGATCAACTTCCATGAAATGGAAAACGATATTCAAGATAAGAAATGTCATCAGTATTTACCGCTTGAGAAAATTCTGTCAGATTTCTTGGAAGTACTTGATTTGAGATCGCGTTGGGAACTTTAAGTTTGTCATTAACCCAAAAATGCATTTATATGAAAAGAAAAATTAATGACTCAAATGGTGATGTGTTGAATTCACACGTAAGACTAATGGGTTCAAATCCCAATTAATATTGAAGAAAAAAACGAATTTTACCCTAGCGGGAGTTACTAGCAATTTTCTAGTCTTTCTATTCTACTACTTGCAATTTACTAGTTATTATTAAAACAACTTACTGTTAATAAATTACACTTGCCATTTACTAGCAACTCACAAGCAAATTACCATGTGAAATGTTTGATCAAATCTGCTTAAGTTCGAACCCTACGAAAAATCATCAAAAAAAAAGAATTTTTTGCGTCATAAAAAATTTTCTTTTAAATTTGGCATTTGCCATATACTTCACAAGAGCGCGCAGAAATCACCTTTATAACGTCGATCCAAATTTGTATGTGACTTTCCCTAGCAATTTACTAGTTATTATTAAAACAACTTACTTTTAATAAATTACACTTGCTATTTACTAGCAAATTACTAGCAAATTACCATGTAAAATGTTTGATCAAATCTGCTTAAGTTCGAATCTTACGAAAAATCATCAAAAAAAGAATTTTTGCATCATAAAAAATTTTGTTTTAAATTTGGCATTTGACATATACTTCACAAGAGCGCGCAGAAATCACCTTTATAAGATCGATCCAAATTTGTATTTGACTTTCAATTAATTATTTATCTTCTTCAGGTTTGCGTGCGAGTCATGGGCGTTCATCAGTATTCGACTTAATTAAATTAAGTCTTTGGCGATGATTTGAACTTGGATTTTTACTAGTAAATAGCAAGTAGCAAATGGAAAGTTATCCAGTAAATTACTAGGAAATTACTAGTAAATTTCTGCTAGGATTAGGCGTTTTTTTTTTGTTTTTTCAAAAACATTTATTTTACATCGGAACTGCTCACATACCATGAGAAATACCAGATGCAAAATTTAGAATGTACTATGAGATCATTTCCATTATAAATTTACATCCATTCAACTAACGTAATCGATGACTTGTGCCAAGATGACTAACTCTTGAAACGACAAAGATCAATTGGCACAAGAAAAAAAAACTTCAGAATCATTAGGATGAAATCATAATAATTCTTAAACTATACATCGAGAGATTCATCTAAGGGAATGTACTGTACAAAAAAATCCGTGATCGCATAGAAAAGTATGAGAAAGAGTAGAAAGACAAAGTTTCAATAATTTATAGATACTTATGTCCATAAATATCCATCATAAAGCATTACTTGATTTTTTTCCAATCTTGACAAAACAACAATAAAAAAAATACATATAGACATTGGATACAGTAAATAAATGAACGTTCAGCAACAATGTGAAGAGAGAAAAAAATAAGTATTTTTACGGAGAACAATAATTATCATAGCAACTATTTATCTATGCTTTTTATTGCTCATAAACCTCCATCTATCCACCAATATGCTATTCGAATTCATTACTCGAATAAATTCGGAATCTTTCACAAAAGTCGTAATTAATTATAAATTGTTGATGATTATCAGTAAGCAAAGAAAGAAATAACTTTTCATTTCGTTCAATGTATTGAGTAACGTAATACTAGGAAATTAAGTATGCTTGATAACTTTAAGCTTATATAAGAAGGTTTCTATAGGCTTATTTATTTTGGCAGCATTAGAGTTTCATGCCGAAAAAACAAAAAATGACTTGATACACCAAGATTATTATTGTGAGGCAATTTTAATTACCTAAAATTATTAGCTACAGATTTGGCAAATATTGAACTCTTTTGATATGGATTAAAATTATTAGAAATCATAATAATCGTATTGATTGTGCACGTGAACAAGATCGGATTGCAAATAATGAAATGATCGCCACATGCAAACTGTATGATTAATGAGGTTATTACAGAAATCGATTGGAAGATGCAATTATTGCGATTTCACAAAGTGACATTCAGTGTTTGTGTCATAAAAAAAGTATCACGCCTAGTAATGAGCGATTTATAAAAAAAAGTTTCAAAACTCCCGGATTCCTGTCATGCGACTTAAACCCCTATTCAGAATCAACAAGAAAATAAAACAAAAGCAATTTGTTGAAAGTAAATTCGTGAAATCAATTATTGAATCGTCAAGCCATATGTTTTTCGGCATATATACCTACGTCTCTATATATGCATGTAGTTTTTTCGGTTAAGAACATGTTTCTGATTAATTGCAATGAAAATGGAAAAGAAATTTAAAATCAAGAAATTAAATAAATAATTTAACATATATAACAAACTTGTTTGCTCTCAATTTCAATACTCCGACTGTTATGTTTACGTTTAAGTCCAAAGAAGCAAAGAAAAAGGTATCTTTACGATTTCTCTATCTTATTTACACTTATTCGTCCTTGAAGATATGTTGGAAGCGTCCTTGCCGCTCGCTTATTCACATATATATATTTTTTTTCTCATTCACTTTTCTGTTGTTGTACTATTGAATATAATAAAGCATTTGTATAATATTCTCATGCATACTGCTCGCTGTATTAGCTTATCATATGGAATGTGTTTCTTTTTTTTCTCATAACAACTTAACTTAGCGAATATTTTGCTTTAATTACCGCTTGTAATGTTTGAATGCAACCATCAATTATTTACACAAATAATTTTAAAGAAAAAAAAAAAAAAATAAAACTAAACGTGAAGCCATTCATTCAAGCATTTTGCACAATATTCTCCACATTATTTCCACCTTTTCTGTCTCACTTACTCGAAGATTTTTTTTTCTTTTTCCCTTTCTGTCATGTTCTGCGGAATAAAAATGTTTCATGCAACAATTTTATGACCATAAATAAAGAGTAGATTAAATGTGACTCTATTTAATTCCTATATTCGCTTGAATGGACGATTGTTGAATGAAGAAGAAAAAGATTGCTGAAAAATTAATAATTTCACGTCAACAATTTTCTTTCATTTCATGCAATGTTTAGAAGAATTAAATTTCTTGATAATTGGACGTAAGGAAATTTACTCAGGTATTTAAGTATATGAAGTGCATTTCGTCACGCTGAATTCAAAGAGTTAAACTGACCTAGTAACACAGTAGTTACAAGAGCAAAAATTGTAGTAATATTATTACAAATTTCTGCAAGCAAAGGTTCAATTCCTAATAAATCAGCTAGAAATTTTCATAATTATATGAAGAAGTATATCTTTTTATATTAATATTTTTGTGAAATTATGCTTCGAATCTGCAGATCTAAAATCCAAATAACAAAATTTCGTCATCATTAATTTTGACGAAGAAAAAAATAGAAAGCTTCAAGTAATTGTAAATAAAACCCTACTGAGTCTAAAATTAAGCATCCTCCATTAAGACAATAATATATTTCACAAATCTCTGAATTTCATAGCGATGCCAATATGCAATCGGATACCTCTATCAAAATTAGATGGTTTGCTACTTTAGCAATTTTTTATTATGACAATTTTAAGTTTCGAAATTCAAAATGCAAATGGCAATGTTTTCTCAAAAAACATATCCATGTCAATAACACTAAAGTGATCCCCACTAAGGTCTAATCCCCAAAAGCTAAATTTTCAGAACATAATGACTTCATAGTCCAAAATTCTCTGGCAAAAGTATGCTAAAAGGCCTACATTCCATACTTTTAACTTTTTTTTTATTGCTGATGATCTAAGAATAAGCGAAAGAATGAAATGAGAAGAACTAGAAAGAGAGAAAATACCGAAAAGAAACTTCTTTTAATTAGTCTCAATTCACTTTTAGAAAAGAAATTTCTGTCTCTTATATTATTCAGCACCGTGAGTGCTTTTCATAGTTTTATAGCATTCCTTTAATTTAATTAGATAGTTTCATAAATGTTGAATGACATAAGGGCCATAAAAACGAAGTCTAGCATGTGTTTGTGACATAGAACAACCGAAACGATTTGTCTATTGTTGTACAATTTTTTTTTTTTCAAGAATTATCATTTTTTTTTTACCTTTTAAACTATTTCCTTTGTGTGGCGTTTTCCGAATTGTTTTTTTTTTTTTTGTGTTAACAAAAATCCTTCTTGTGCAAGTCCTTCCACTCTACTTTACACATGTATCCGTGCGTGAGAATATTTCTATTTTTTTTTTATCCTCCTCACAAAATAATATATATTTTCTTGTGCTTCCTAACGTTAATTCACTTTCAACAAAACAGAATTATGATTACTTTTTTTTAAAAGAAACAGGCTTCAAAACAAAAAATAAGTATGAGCAAGAATAAGGTTCAATAATAAGCAACGATTATAATGAAAATCCTTTATAATCATACATGTAATATTTTCTTTAATCTCCCACAAAAACCTTTATTTTCTCACATCACTCTTCATATATATATATTTTTGATATTCTTATGTTTTTTTTTATATCTTATGATTCCAATCACCGCCACTTTAATAATTTATTCTTCTTTCGTTCTCCTCTTTTATGTTAATTTCCATATAATATATAGTGAGAGAGAGCAAAAAATTAATGTTTGAAAGAACTTTTTGTTAAGAAAAACCGACCCGAAATGATCTTTTCAAAACTCGTCTGTATTGAATGACGATCAAAACTAAACTGAGAACTGACGCACAGAAGAAAAACAAAAAAATAAAATGATCGGTGAGAGAGAACAAAATAGGCAGTGAATAATATAAGAAACGTTTGAATGAAGGTGTGTGTGTTAAAAATAATAATAATACTGCTGATGTTGTTTGTGCAATGTTTTGCAATGAATGAGGTAAGCATTTTGACTGATAGGTGAGAATATTTCAAGAAATTTGAAAAAAAAACATGAATAAAGGACTTTAAATGCTTAGATTCACTTAGAACTGTCAGTGCCACTTTTTAAAGTAAAACTTGCTAATCATTTTGAAGAAATTAATTAATTATGCCGATAAAATTTCAATAAAACTTTTTGAAGTGAGAAAATCATTTTCCTAACCTATCCTAATTTTTCAAATGTTTTCACTAGTTTCACCCTGTTTCACCATAATCAAACGTTATTCTAGGCTTTCGAAAAATCAACACAAATGCGTCACGATCACCCGATCATACCTTTAGTACTGAATACGTGCATACTAGAAACACTTGAGAAACTGACGTATTCAAAATACCAATACAGAGAGCGGCAATGAATGCAATGCATTAGAGAGAAGCATAAATAGTTCTTTAAATATAGACTGTTACCTATATTATGTTTACATCGTCATAATAATTTAAATCTATCTATCAGGTGGATTTTAGAAGTGAGTGGGTAGCTATTAGTTAATGAACTCTAATCTGACACCCAAGGTCTCTATTAAGAAGTGAACGTAGTCAATCGATTTGTTTTGCAATCAATAATTGTGAATAAATGGATTTCACACACGCCTAACATAAAAATGTAAGTTGTATCCAGAGATTATAAGTTAGATATTTTTCTGTAAAATTCTCATGCAGCCATAAAATCTGATTTTTAATTATAATAATATCAACTGGTTTTGTGCAATTTGAATGCTACCTTTTTGCGAACTCAACGTTATGACTAATCAAATGATGTGGGATTAAAGATTTGACGATTGTAAATCATTTAATTAATGCGATTTTACTTCTTCGCTGTATTTTTGTGTTTCGCAATTTTACTGATATTTTTGCCACTCACCTTTAAACACTTGATAAATGTCACCTTGTTAAACTGACGAAAAATCACGATAAATGTATTAGCACTTTGATAACCGAGAAAGATAGCTGCAAAATTTTATTAAATTTTACTTTTTGTGTATACTTGAGTTCTTTCGTTTGTTTTTGCTTTAGCTTACATTTTATTAAGATAGATGGCACATACAGCATAAGGGGAGCAAACCTTAATAATATTCACACACGGACCGGCTTTAAAAATATAATTAAATTCACTTTTCTCTTTATTAAAATCCTGTTTAATTATAAACTGTAAATAAGAAGTTGAATTTTCAAAGATAACTGACAAAATTTGAAATTTTAACGCGTATTTCACAGTACAAAAAGTTTTCAAAACAAATTTAAAGTGTATTTTTTTTTGTTGCTGATTATTTTAATTAATAAACATGTCAAAGAACGAAGAAACAGTAAAAACAGAAAAGGAATTGGATTGTGGCAATGCCAGCCGTGGAGTGTGGCTAGTTAAAGTTCCAAAATATATAGCAAAGAAGTGGGAAAAAGGTAAAGTTTTGAAATTAGATCAAATTGAAAGTTTCTAAATCATTGAATTTTGTTGATATTACAGCAACAGGAGATATTGAGGTCGGAAAGCTGAAGATCGTGAAATATCCAGGACAGAAATCACAGGTCTCATTGTCATTATCAGAAGCGACATTGAAAATAGATCCAGAACAAGGTAAATAAAAGCATTATTAATTTTATAGGTCAATTCTGACTTTTTTGATTCTTCAGATATCCCTAAAGAGCACAGATTCGATGTTTTGGCTGTGAAGCAAGTATGTTATCTTGTGATTGACTATTAAGTCGTGTATATTAATTTGATTTGAAACTTCCAGCAAGCTCTTGGAGTCTTTAGTCAGCATATAGATAGTGATAGATCAGATAAGATTTACATGGAAGGAACTATCGTCGAGAAGCTTGAATGTCGTCCATATGCTGATCAAACATACATGACAATGAAGGCTAATTCGATTAAAAATGCATCGATGCCTAAACGACGAGTCGAGCAATTGGATAGTGTTGTCACAACATTCAAGCCTATTTCCGATCATAAGCACAATGTAAGGCTTGATACTAGATACTTAATTAAAGTATATTATAATTAATGAATTTACAGATCGAGTACGAAAAGAAGAAGAAGAGTGACGGTAAGAAATCCCGAACAGACAAGCAAGCAGTTATGGATATGCTGTTTAATGCATTCGAGAAACATCAGTTTTATAACATTAGAGATCTCGTTCAGCTTACGAACCAGCCCATTTCATATCTCAAAGAGATTCTCAAAGAAATCTGCGAATATAGTGTTAAGAATCCTCACAAAAATACATGGCACTTAAAGCCTGAATATAGGCATTATTCTGAGGATAAGAAGGATAAGGCAGAAACTAAATCCACAAAAGATGATGATAAAATGAGTGATAGTGACGATGATGATTTTTAGAGGAATTAAAAGAGAATGTTTGAATCATCAGACTGAATGATTTTATTTAATTTTGTTAAACCCTTAAATAAAAATCTTGATACTACAAAAACTCTGGACTGCAACTGCTTTACCACATAGCTCTTTGAACACCTGATAGCTTGTTATAATCAGCAAAGTGTCTAAACATTATTCTACTCAGACGGAATTTCATTAAGTTTCCTCGAGGACGACTAGTGACCATGCAACGATACACAACTCGATTAAGGTTTGAGTCTCTCGGGAAGTTGTTATGAAGTTCTGTTGATGCTGCTTCTCTTATTTCTATTGGCAAAATATCGTTCTTTCTCAATGTATTTACTCTTATTCTATCGACTGCATGCTCTTTTACTACCATACGCTTCTTATAATCCTTGATCATACGCCAATCTGTCCATCCAGCACCGGATCTTTTTTGTGTGAACTGGAAGTTATTTTATGTTTATTATTTGACGTTTTTGGATAATTTCTTGTTTTTGATCTACTTACACCAAATATTTTGGTTGTTCCTGAGGTGATTAAGGAATCAGTAGCAGCTGATAAGGCTTTTATTAAGGACATTTTAATGATTTTTTAATTAAACAAAAGTATCATATGTAGCCTGACAATACCACTGACGTTGGATTGATCAATAATTTACAAGGATTTATTGATATTAAAATAATTAAAGCATTATATACAAAGTGATAAGAGAAGAGAATATTAGGATGAAACTTATATGATATTTATGCCACATTCAAAGTTCTGATAAGTCAGGATTTAATTAAAAAGCGATGTTAAGAATTCTGTATTTTTCTAATGTAACTCCAAAATTTAAAATAAACTTTTAACCATTATTAACGACTTTTTCGGATAATTTAATTAAGAAATCTTCAATACTTTAGCAATACTACCATTTCAAAGTTAAATCAATGCATGTCACTGTCATAAAAAGTGAAAACTCAAAACCAAAACAAATTTGCGTAACGTAATAAGTGAACAACCCCTTTTATTGAAAGTGAATTTCACAACATACAACATAAATTGACGATAAAATGGAACTTTTTGTATATAAAGGAGAGTTTAAGCTGCCGTCTATTGATCTTGACTGTTTGAGAGTCTTGGTAAGTATAATGTCACATTGAATTAATTAAGTTATGGAAAGAAAAATTCGCTTTTCAGATGTACATAAAATTGACTGATGTAAAAAACATTAAAATCAGACAAAACTTCTCACCATTAAGATCCGATAATGGGTTCCTGCCATACCTTATAGACACAACTGACAACAAAAAGTATTGTGGATATGAGAAAATCATCAACTACTTAAAAAGCTCTGGATATGTGCTGGATGGTTCCGAAAAGAACGAGGCATGCTTATCCTATATTAGACAGAACCTGTATCCATACTTTATGTATCAATTGTTCGGAAGTCCTCAAAATATAGACGATAGCCGAGCACTTTATGCCACTAGAACTCCATTTCCATTCAACTTTTACTATCCATCAAAATATATTAAGAAAACTGAGGAAGTATGTCAAGCACTAGCTAATTTCTCACTTGAAGATCCGATTGATCATCACGATACAGCAGAAATGGAAGTCAAAGCTAAGAAATGCCTTAATTGGGTTAGTGAGAAATTGGGAACAAACGAATTCTTCTTAAATGGAACTCAAAGTGAAGTCGATGCAACAGTTTATGCTTATTTAGCTATAATCCTTAAGTTCCAACTGCCAAATAATCAGCTCCAAGCACATGCTAAGCAGTGTGAAAATCTTGTAAGATATGTAAATAATTTAACTAAGAAATTCTTCGACGAGTCTGAATGCTTTGAAAGTGAAAAAGTCAAGGAACAGAACCAGAAGAAGGAACAAAAAGTTTTTACTGGACAAGAAGAAGATGGATCTCCAGCAGAAATAAGAAAACGTTATATTGTGTCTGGACTTTTTGCTACAACTGCCATGCTCGTGTACGGCTACCTTCATGGAATTTTTTCTGTAAATCCTATTAGACTTAACTCATTTGACTAATAATCCTCATGAATCTCATATTTTAACCAACTGTTTTAGATAACATTAGCTGAAAAATTGAATGAAAACAGGACAACATACAGTGATTATGATAGAGAGTATGTTGGTGATGACGATGATTAAATTGTAGACACGATACACACACTTCATATACATTTCATTCAGGATTTTTGTTTGATTCAGTTTAAAAGAGAATTTAAATGCTATAATAAAGGCTAGTTTTTTTTGAAATTCGTGATTAAATATCAAATTTAACGTATTTATGAGATTTATAATTTTGTAACGGCTTTATAAAATTAAAATTTTATGCTTTTTAAAACTTTTTCATACAATTCAAATTTCAATGAACCGTTAAAATTATAGAACTTAATTTTAGAGATAAATAAATTTATTAATGATATTCACACGACTTTTACAGGAAGGATATTAATAGGATAACATCTAGAAGCTAGTAGCTTGTTATAGAACATATTTCTTGTGTTACTATAAAAGAAATTATTATAAAATATAATGCCAAATAAATAATTTAAGCATTTGATGCACTGTGGAATGCTTGAAGAGATCTTGAATGTTTAAATGGAGCTCCATTTGTGGCAGCAATGACTTCGTCAAGGAAACTTTCAGAATTATGAATCGTAGTTCCACCCAAAATCACTCGATATCCCATTTGATTGAGTTGATGGACAGCCATTGCTTCTTCGTATGTAGCACCTCCAATAATGAAAGCCACAATTTCTTTTGGTGGTCTTCTGTAAGCTGGAACATCATTAATAAATGGATAATGTTGGTCTATAGATCGTCCTTTAAATATTTCTTCTAAAATCTCTTTCAATACACAGACATGCTGTGTATAGACATTCTCAACACCTTTCATTCCCTTAATTAACTGCCTTGTCAATTTTACAGCGTCAGTGATCTTTACTGTACTAAATAATTCAGTTCTTGCATATTGGCTTATGTATTCAAGCATTTTAGGCACTAAATGAGTTCGTCCATTACGTGCTTTTAGGGCATTTAATAAGCCAACAGTTCCGCAATTTGCATGTCTCTCATATCTCATTGAATAAAGGAGAATTAAGCGTAAAGCATCGTCAATATTAATTCGTTCTTCAGCAACAAGTTTCTTGACTTTTTGTAGCTGTGCTGAATGATCAGCTCTACAGACCATATCTTGTTCCAATTCTGATAATTCAAGTAGCGCTTTCTTACTAATTTGCATCGACAATTCACTGATAACGACTAAATGTTTATTGACTGTTCCTGACATTTTTTTAAACTGTGGATAAGTCTCGACAAAGTTCTTCATGTCTTGAATTGTCTCAATTTTCTTCTGTTCCTTTGCTTTCAACTGGAATGACTCGATAAGATCACGAATTGTTGTGGCAATTTCTCCAAAATTAGAGTTTAAATTCTTCTCATAAAATTCATCCTGTTCTGCTGACAATACAACTTCCTTTAACTCAGATGGAACTCCAACAACTGATGATAAATCTACACGATTATTTTTAATCGTTAAAAGTTGATGGACCATTGCTTGATATGTCCATTGCGTTAATAATGGAGTAACTGGATCATCTCGTCTGTCAAGAATAAGGAGTAATGGTGGTGCATCGCCATTTTCTGGTGGTCTAAAGCTGAATAATGAGCTTTCCTTATTCATTGTATCGAATATTTTCTTAGCCAACTGCTGTGCTACATTACTTCCGTTTTTAAAGCGAATTGCTGGTCGAATTTTTAATGACAATAGTACTCCAATAATCCCGCTGACACTTCTGTCTAGAGCATCTTGATACCAATTCAAGGCATGAAGACAAGTTGGGATGTTTAATGAGAACAAATTTGCATTAATGCTAAGAAAATCAGCATAAACTTCTTTAACTTCTCTAACTGATTCACTCTCGTCACATTCTGCTAGTGTTTTAATGTCAGTTCTAGGGATTACGTTACTAAAGTAGATAAAATATGATCCGTATTTTGGTGATTTTAATTCATTTGATAATCTCAAGATATTTTCTCTTGTTGGACGAATAAAGACGATGCATTTTAAATACTTTAATCTTTCATTGGATCTTCCAGAATCGATACGTTCAAAGAGGTAGACTTCCTTCTGAAGCATTTCAGTTTGTGAAAATGCCATTGACACTATGGATGTCTTTAAAATTGATTAATTCAAAACATTCAATTTAACATATTTTTCATTAATATTTGTACTTACAGTCTCTCTATCCATCAGCAGGATCTTCATACCAACTCCAGCTTCTTCAATCATCTTGTCAATATAAAGTTGCACTGACTTAATTACGTTCATTATGCTTTAATTAAATAAATTCTGTTTTTATTGACAGAAAAATATACTCAGAGGGGCTCTCAATTATGTTGATAAGAGACAAAAAGTAGAAAGTTGTTGTTCCCCTAGTTGATTTCCCCTGCCTCGTTCTTTCTTTTCGAAAACTCATAAAACATGGGTACGTTTCTTGAAAATTAATTAATTTAACTGTTTTAAAGCATATTTTCACACTTGAATTTATTAAATATGTCTCGACAAGTGTGGATTTAGTGTATTAAACATCAAGTTGCGTGAAAAAACGATCAATTAATGCATAAATCTTTGATTTTATTGCAGGTATTTCTCGTGATTCATTTCATAAGCGTCGTGCGACTGGTGGTAAAAAGGCTCAGATCCGCAAGAAGCGAAAGTACGAATTAGGACGTCCTGCAAGTAACACTAAGGTAATAATTTGATTAAAGTAGCGAAATTTGTGATATAAACAAAATTTTCTATGGTTCAGTGATATAACCTCATTTTGTAATATTTATTAAAAGAAAAAAAATCATATTATTAATTATAGATTGGTGTTAATCGAGTCCACTTTGTCAGAACTCGTGGTGGAAATAGAAAATTCCGTGCACTCCGTATTGAAGGTGGAAATTTCGCCTGGGCTTCACAAGCAACAGCACGTAAAACGAGAATTCTTGATGTCGTTTATAATGCATCAAACAATGAACTTGTTCGTACCAAGACTTTGGTAAAAAACTGCATCATCACAATCGATGCTACTCCATTCAAGCAGTACTATGAATCCCACTATTTGCTTCCTCTTGGACGCAAGAAGGATTCTAAGAAAGCTGAAGCTGCAACTGAGGAAGAAGATCCACTCACAAAGAAACGCGGCAAGGAAGCAATGAAGAAATATGAGGAACGTCAAAAGTATGCTACAGTTGAACCTGCTTTAGAAGAACAATTCTTACAAGGACGTCTCCTAGGTAAGCTTGAACTTTTATATTCTTTTTTGAGCACTCAAATAGTGGTGGATTACAAGTGATGAACAAACTAAAGCGATCTACCAACTTATACTGAATACAAACTCGTTTTGAGCGTTGAATTCTAATCGGTAGACATGATAGCGCTTGTCATAGTTACTCTGATATCCCACATAAAATTTTATGCTTTATTACTTTGAAAATTCAATCACTAATGAGTTAATACTCTTTACAGCTGCTATCTCAAGTCGACCAGGACAAGTCGGTCGTGTTGATGGATATATTTTGGAAGGCAAGGAACTCGAGTTCTATGTTAAGAAAATCAAGTCTAAGAAATCGAAGTAAATTCGATCTGTGAAATGTATGCATTCAAGAGGAGACAACATCAAATAAAATCCAATTTTTGAAATCTAAAACTGCTTTAATTCCTTATTCAAAACTGCTTTTTAAAGTTTAAACTTTCAGAATTGCGAAAAGTATTATTTCGATTCAAGGGGGAGCTTGATGCTGTGCGCATGAGTTTGTGGTGAATTTTGAATGTATTAAATGATTTAAAATAAAACGATTTCTAGAAGTTCCAATTTTAACGGCTTTTAAAAATTCAAATTACATCCTTCATCTTTGGTCTGATCAAAGTCCAAAATCACCAAAAACCTCATTTTACAAGCTGTTGTCAAGCCATTCAGGTCGTTTCCAAGCTTCTTTAAAACATAAAATACAAGATGGGAAAAAGTGTTGAAGTAAAGCAAGTGGAATTAGTTGAAAAGCTGGTTAAAAAGTTTGATGAAGTTATGTCCGACGAAGATGCACTTGCTGACGTCTTAAATGGACTAGTTGATGCTTTGAAACCATTAGCTAAGGATGAAAAACAAAAAGTACAGTATGGTGAATTGTGTGCTATTGTAGAAGGGATTCTCGAATATAGCAGTGGATTTGCTTCAAAAACCAGCACAAGTGAAAAGCAGCAAGCTAAACTAAAGAAGTCCTTAAATGCAATCATTAAGATTAAAGAGTATTTGGTTTGTTCGCTAAGCATTAATGTTGAAGAAGATTATGGACCACAAAGACGTATAGGATCTGACGAAAACACTGTTTTGGATCAACAGGAAGCATCTGCAGCAAAATAACATCTACTTCCTAAGCTATATTTTAATAATTTTTTAACTTGTAAAGCACCATTGTGGAAATAAAGTTTATTGTGTAGTTATTAACCCTAAATTTGATGTTTTTAACTAGGGATTCTCTTACAGATAACACATACATGGCCTTTAAGTTTTAGACATGGTCAAAATCAACAGTCAAGTTGCACAAGTTTCAATTGATTTTTAACTGTCATTTTTATTTCAAATTAAGTCAATGTGGTAAGATCTGTGTCATGAGCTTTAAGGGTTTTGTTGGAAGTCATTCATCTCGTGATCGTCAAGCGTACCAGTTCTAAAAGTCCAATTAAATCGAAAAATAAAGTAATTAATAAAGCAAAGATGACAAAAATCGATGTAAACAAGCAACTAGAGCAAGCTGAAAGCTACATACATCAATTAGATGAGTCTGTGACTGATGAAAATGCACTTACAGAAACGTTGACTAATTTAGTCGATGTGCTCAAACCAATTGGAGCTGAAAGTCTTAATTACAAGATATTATGTGCTGCTGTAAGTGAAATTCTGAACTTCAATGATGCATGTCCGCTAGATACAAGCACACGAAAGAAGAAATACTCAAAAATCGGTGCAATTGTTGATTTCTTTCAATCTCTTAAGTTAAATTCATCGTACGATCGTAAAGAACTAGCTAATTCCAGCAAAGATAACATCAATGAAAAGGAATCAGATGAAAAAACTGACGAAAAGAAGGAAGAATCAAGTCCAAAAGCTGAAAACCCAAAATTACAGGAACCTGAAGAACAAAAGGATGACTTGAGGCTTGAAAAGAAGAAATTGTCAGTCAAGACACTTGCTTACTTATTCAATTGCATTAAGAATGAGTTCGATGTCGAGGATAAGAATGCAAGCAAACCTCAAATTATCATAACATCAGAACCAGAATCACCAAAATCGGATTAATTTTATTAATATCTATTGTTTTATTTTTGTGTAGCATTGTTCAATTGCCTAATTTTAATCAATATATTGTGGAAATAAATTTTGTTTGATTAATCATTTCAAATTCTTGATATTTTAAATCTGAAAATTAACGTTAATTTTAAATTTAAATGAAATGAGATTGAAAGGGGTTAACAACTAGAAAATTTAAATCACAAAATCACGTTAAATTTTCGTTGATTTAAAAACAGCATTTTGGAATTTTTGCCAGAATAAATTTAAATTAAAGGAATACAGGTGTTTCGAGCAATAAATTAAAGTCAATTCAACGTAAAAGTATACTAGTTTCATGTCACAGTGTCATATAATTCCGCTGTATTTAAGCAATAAGAATAAATTTACAATAAAATTCTCAAAAGATCCAGTAAAAACGTTTTGTGGTGAGTTTCACATACATTAAACCAATCGTTGACTTTTCCTCAAGCAGTACGTCCCCCAAAAGACGTATACTGGGGGTCCTCGATTTGAGTAGTTGTTTTGTTCCAAAAAATTTCTACTCAAATCGAATCTATTCAAATCGAGGCAAAGAATCAATACAAAATTACATGTTTTGTTCCAGAGTCCAAAAAATATATCAAAACAATGAAAATTTTGATCATTTTTTGCACATTTTACCTCGTTGCTTAACTTTTCCTATGTGTTTTAGATAACTTAATATATTTCAAGGCACATTCATATTGTTTTTAAACAGAAATTCACAAAAAATATGTTTTTGAAACAAAACAAAAATATGAGAACCTTGCAAATGTTAATTCACTGAACAATTTGTAAGGTTTTTGAATTTGAACTTTTAATTTTATAGCGATTTTTTAAATTTTTACTTTAATTTTGTAACTTTAGTATTGATTTTTCTATCAATATGATAAGTTCACGCTTATTGCAGTAAAATTTATGTTTTAAAAATATTTTCTGAAATGTTTTTATCAAAAATGTTTGTTTTGTAAACAGTTCAAATCGAAGAAAACAGGAAGAAATCTACTCAAATCGAATATTTTGGTGGGTAAAAATTTTTCTGTTCAAATCGAATCTACTCAAATAGAATCTACTCAAATCGAGGACCCCCAGTATATACCTACATTTATATAATTTTTTCTTTCTTTCCATTGTATTTTTGTTCTTTGAGAAAATCAAAAGTGAAATTTTGCTCGAAAATTTTTTTTAAGCTGATAAGTGTTAATTAAAGCTATTAAAATGTTTGCAAAAAAGTATCGTCCATCGATATCGTCTTTGGACACACACTCAAATATTGAGGATGACGATGAAATGTATTTGAGGAAAAGAAATATTAGAGATCAGTCACCTATAGATAGACTTGATAACGACGAACTTTCTGATGCACTTTCAGAAGAAGAAGATATTCCTGGATGTCCACTTCCGTCAACACCCGAGGATAATCAGCTGTTGGAAGCTGAGGTAAGATAAATTATTGCGAAATTCCGTATTATGAAATTTTTTTCACATCAATTTCTTTATGGAAACTGAACATTGACCCAAAAAAAAAAAGCTATTATGTATCTCATATCTCTGTACTATTAATGCAATCTATTTTGTTTATATCACCATGTGTATAATCCAATTTCCCTTTATATTTTCGCGAGTAGATGACGGAAGTTTTAAAGGCAGGCGTACTATCTGATGAAATCGATTTGGGTGCTTTAGCTCATAATGCTGCTGAGCAGGCAGAAGTTTTCGTACGTAAAGTATGGGAAGCATCATGGAAAGTCGTTCATTTCAAGAATTTACCAAAGTGGCTTCAAGACAACGACTATTTACATAAAGGACATCGTCCACCACTTCAATCATTCGGAGCTTGCTTCAAATCTATCTTTAGGCTGCACACTGAAACAGGAAATATTTGGTATGTAAATTGGAAGTACTTTAAGTCGTATGTAAAAACTAGCAACTCTGATTCACTTTAAATGATTAAGAATCTTTGACTGAACAAAATCTATTGTCACAAAATCTAATATTGCGTATTTACAACCACAGGACACATTTGCTGGGCTGTATTATGTTCATTGGCGCAACTATCTATTTCTTATGGAGACCATCATGGCAACTTAATCTAGAAGAGAAATTCATATTCTTGGCATTTTTCGTTGGTGCTATTGTATGCTTAGGCTTCTCATTCGCTTTTCACACCGTCTCATGTCACTCGGAAATGATTGGAAAATTGTTCAGCAAGTAAGTTTAAAGCACAACAATAATCACTCACGTCAAATAAATAATTAATTATGTTTTTATAGATTAGATTATTGTGGCATAGCGCTGTTGATTATGGGCAGTTTTGTGCCGTGGCTGTATTATGGATTTTATTGTCATTATCAACCTAAAATTATCTACTTAACTGTAGTTATTATATTAGGATTCTTCTCAATCGTGACATCACTTTGGGACAAATTCTCTACACCACAATTACGACCTGTTAGGTGTGTATAGCTATTTTTATTGTACTTGACATTGACAATTTTAATTTATATCTCATATCTCATGTCCATATCTAGAGCAAGTGTGTTTATGGCTTTTGGTTTGTCCGGAGTCATTCCAGCAATTCACTATGTATACATGGAAGGATGGTTCAACGACATTAGTCGAAAATCTCTTGGATGGTTGATCTTAATGGGATTCTTGTACATCTTAGGTGCAATGTTTTATGCATTGCGCATACCGGAAAGGTGGTTTCCTGGGAAATTCGATCTCTGGGTAAGTTTGATTATCGTTTCTATGGAAATTACCGACTGTAAATCGTTTCGTGCTGAATTATTAACTGCAACGTGTAATTTTCTGTTAATTTCATGAAAACTTGCAATAATTTATCATGTGCAAAGAGCATTCTGCTGTAAACAAGTAATTTGTCATAGACTTTGAAATACCGCGTAAAGGCAAATGGGAATTCTTATCAGAAATTGGTTGAAAATTAGATTAGAAATGCTTTTTGAAACGGAGTTGCAATCCTTGATTCTTTGGCTTAAAAGTATTTTTGTTTGATTATGTCAAGGTCATGGTTGCAATCTTTGAGAATGTTCCAGATTTGTAAGTATTGATCGCGCATTACATTCAGAGTTTTTATCTTTTTGAATGTTTGTTTTATCTGGGAGTAAAATTTGTACGCACAAGGTCAGCTTATGAATCACATTAATGTACATTTTCTTCATTCCTGACTTAAGGAAATGCTTACCTATGCTGCAAGATCTAACGCTCCAAGAATATTTAAAATTTAACTGTCAAAAATTATTTGAATTTTTTAATCCTTGGATTAATATAAATCCAATTTATAATCTAAGTATTTATTACACACTCAAGAGCTTCGCTCGTAGGAAGTAAATTTTTTTTAAATGTTTCATAATTCCGTATATATGACTTACCCATGCAGTCTACCACACAAAGCAAATAGAAAGTCATGGCTATGTAGCATGGAAAAGTACCAACAAAAAGTCGATTATGTCAGCAACAAAGATGCATTCTGTGCATATATGCATAGCGATAAGCGGAATTATAACTGAAATTTTTAAAACTTTTTTTCTTTTTCTTTTTCAGGGTCAATCCCATCAAATATTTCACGTTTTAGTGATTGTAGCTGCTTTAGTTCACTACCATGGAATCTCGGGTAAATTATTGTTCATCAAATTAATAATTATGCATGACTAACGCTACTTTAAACCTTCTTTTCTTTTTAGAAATGGCAATGCACAGAGTATCATTGGGAGAATGTGATATTAAACATTCTGCTATAGTCTTATAATTGCTTTAAGAAGGCAAGCAACTAAAATATTGATGAAAATGACAGCAAAAAATAATAATTTAAAGTGTAAAATTGATAGCGAAATTCTTTAAATGTATTTTCTTGAGAAGCATGAAAAATTTAATTGTGATAGAACTTCAATGATTAAATGATGATGAGTAATCTTGTTATATCTCTAATAATTCTTAAAAATTAATTACGATCAATTCCTTTAACCATATATATTTTCATAGCACTTAAAAGCAAGCTTAAAAATTTCAAAATGATTAAATTCATTGTTTTGGGAACGAAGCAATTAGTTGTGTAAATTCTTTGGAATAAATTAGAGCTATATGGAAGTTTTAGTGTTTAATTTTAATAATTTTTTTACCTCTGGACTTGATTGTTGCTGGGGAAGTTTGGGATTTATGGTAATTTACTCTCCACTCGATGTAGTTTTGTGGCAAATTTAACGGTTTTCAAAAATTCAAAGTTTTGTGGATTCAAAAAATTCAATTTTAGCGGTTCTTTAAAAATTCAAATTTTTACGTTCTCCAGAAGCTCAAAACTTTTTTCGACTTGAATTTGAAATTTTGAAAACCGCTAAAATTGAATCATGACTAAAGAGGCTTAATAAAGCATTTGCTGGCATTTACCAGCAGCCATCAAGTCTAGCACAGCTTTAAAAAAAGTAGAATCCAGAAATTTATGTAAATATATTTTAAAGTGCATATATACATACAATATTTATGTTTTAATCAGCAAAAAAAAAAAATTCCACGAATAGAAAATATTAAAATTTAAAAAATCTCAAATTTAGCCAACTGTTGAGGTTGAGAATCAGAATCACCAAAATATCAATGCAAAATTAATTGAGAAAATCCCTGTAAATTATGAGATATATGAAAAAAAAGTCCTTAAATAAATGAAAATCCTGAATAAATTTATTCTAAATTAAGAAAAAGGCAAATTTACGTCACTTTGTATTTCTATACTGTTTACTTTCAGTCATGTACAGCAAAGTATCAAATTTTAAGTGAGTCACATTGAATTACTACTCATGTATCAAATTCTCAAGGTCATGTGCAGTTTGTTTGAAAACAAATTGATGCATTCTATAGTTTAATGATCAGTTGCCAACTCAGTCAACAAGTGAACTGAAAACGTGATTCAAATATTCGAGTGCTCGATTTTGTTATAAGAAAGGCGTAGTCAGGTAGAAAACATTATCTCTTATCTTTAAGATTTTTGGTATTATTGTTTTTGTTTGCTTAACACGCTGATTAATTGTAATTGCTGATTAATTGTACACGGAAGGTATTTCTTTATGTCGTTCAAATTTTGGCACACAACCTACAGCTCGCAACTCAAAATCAATCATATTGATATGTATATCAATAGAAAGCTACAAAGGTCTAGTAGGGCGGAAATTTAGGCGCTTTGCGTAAATCGTCTTAGTTCTCGAGATATAGTGAAAAAAGTGTTTAATCTGATGGATTATAAATAAATCCAATGGATTAAAAATTAAATCAGTAATATCTTTTAATTTTCAAATCCATTTTTTCCGTGTGATATCTTAAATTATCATAATTTTGAGTGGGTTTAAGAAATATTTATGTAAATCTTGATTATTTTTAAACCGGATTTGAGGGTATATTAGCATTCTTAATCATTTATAATACCTAGATATGTTTTGAAATGCAATTTAAATCAAATTTGATTTCGATCATAGTAGGCTTTTTTCAAAAAAAATATCGATTTTATGTCAATATTAGCATTCTTTATCATTTATAATACCTAGAAATATTTTAAAATGCAATTTAAAGCATTTTTGGTTTTGATCATAGAAGGCTATTTTCAAAAAAAATATCGATTTTATGTCAATATTAGCATTCCTAATCATTTATAATACCTAGGTATGTTTTAAAATGCAATTTAAAGCATTTTTGGTTTTGATCATAGTAGGCTATTTTCAATAAAATATCGATTTTATATCTATATTAGCATTCTTTAACATTTATAATACCTAGGTATGTTTTAAAATGCAATTTAAAGCATTTTTGGTTTTGATCATAGTAGGCTATTTTCAATAAAATATCGATTTTATGCCTATATTAGCATTCTTTAACATTTGTAATACCTAGATATGTTTTGAAATGCAATTTAAAGCATTTTTGGTTTTGATCATAGTAGGCTTTTTTAAAAAAAATATCGATTTTATGCCTATATTAGCATTCTGTAACATTTGTAATACCTAGATATGTTTTGAAATGCAATTTAAAGCATTTTTGGTTTTGATCATAGAAGGCTATTTTAAAAAAAAATATCGATTTTATGCCTATATTAGCATTCTTTAACATTTGTAATACCTAGATATGTTTTGAAATGCAATTTAAAGCATTTTTGGTTTTGATCATAGTAGGCTATTTTAAAAAAAATATCGATTTTATGTCAATATTAGCATTCTTTATCATTTATAATACCTAGAAATATTTTGAAATGCAATTTAAAGCATTTTTGGTTTTGATCATAGTAGGCTATTTTAAAAAAAATATCGATTTTATGCCTATATTAGCATTCTTTAACATTTGTAATACCTAGATATGTTTTGAAATGCAATTTAAAGCATTTTTGGTTTTGATCATAGTAGGCTATTTTAAAAAAAAATATCGATTTTATGTCAATACTAGCATTCTTTATCATTTATAATACCTAGATATGTTTTGAAATGCAATTTAAAGCATTTTTGGTTTTGATCATAGTAGGCTATTTTAAAAAAAAATATCGATTTTATGTCAATACTAGCATTCTTTATCATTTATAATACCTAGATATGTTTTGAAATGCAATTTAAATCATTTTTGGTTTTGATCATAGTAGGCTATTTTAAAAAAAATATCGATTTTATGCCTATATTAGCATTCTTTAACATTTGTAATACCTAGATATGTTTTGAAATGCAATTTAAAGCATTTTTGGTTTTGATCATAGTAGGCTATTTTAAAAAAAATATCGATTTTATGTCAATATTAGCATTCTTTATCATTTATAATACCTAGAAATATTTTGAAATGCAATTTAAAGCATTTTTGGTTTTGATCATAGTAGGCTATTTTAAAAAAAATATCGATTTTATGCCTATAATAGCATTCTTTAACATTTGTAATACCTAGATATGTTTTGAAATGCAATTTAAAGCATTTTTGGTTTTGATCATAGTAGGCTATTTAAAAAAAAATATCGATTTTATGCCTATATTAGCATTCTTTAACATTTGTAATACCTAGATATGTTTTGAAATGCAATTTAAATCATTTTTGGTTTTGATCATAGTAGGCTATTTAAAAAAAATATCGATTTTATGCCTATAATAGCATTCTTTAACATTTGTAATACCTAGATATGTTTTGAAATGCAATTTAAATCATTTTTGGTTTTGATCATAGTAGGCTATTTTAAAAAAAAATATCGATTTTATGCCTATATTAGCATTCTTTAACATTTGTAATACCTAGATATGTTTTGAAATGCAATTTAAATCATTTTTGGTTTTGATCATAGTAGGCTATTTTAAAAAAAATATCGATTTTATGCCTATATTAGCATTCTTTAACATTTGTAATACCTAGAAATATTTTGAAATGCAATTTAAAGCATTTTTGGTTTTGATCATAGTAGGCTTTTTTAAAAAAAATATCGATTTTATGCCTATATTAGCATTCTTTAACATTTGTAATACCTAGATATGTTTTGAAATGCAATTTAAAGCATTTTTGGTTTTGATCATAGTAGGCTATTTTAAAAAAAATATCGATTTTATGTCAATATTAGCATTCTTTATCATTTATAATACCTAGAAATATTTTGAAATGCAATTTAAAGCATTTTTGGTTTTGATCATAGTAGGCTATTTTAAAAAAAATATCGATTTTATGCCTATATTAGCATTCTTTAACATTTGTAATACCTAGATATGTTTTGCAATGCAATTTAAAGCATTTTTGGTTTTGATCATAGTAGGCTATTTTCAAAAAAATATCGATTTTATGTCAATATTAGCATTCTTTATCATTTATAATACCTAGATATGTTTTGAAATGCAATTAAAAGCATTTTTGGTTTTGATCATAGTAGGCTATTTTAAAAAAAATATCGATTTTATGTCAATATTAGCATTCTTTATCATTTATAATACCTAGATATGTTTTGAAATGCAATTTAAATCATTTTTGGTTTTGATCATAGTAGGCTATTTTAAAAAAAATATCGATTTTATGCCTATATTAGCATTCTTTAACATTTGTAATACCTAGATATGTTTTGAAATGCAATTTAAAGCATTTTTGGTTTTGATCATAGTAGGCTATTTTAAAAAAAATATCGATTTTATGTCAATACTAGCATTCTTTATCATTTATAATACCTAGATATGTTTTGAAATGCAATTTAAATCATTTTTGGTTTTGATCATAGTAGGCTATTTTAAAAAAAATATCGATTTTATGACTATATTAGCATTCTTTAACATTTGTAATACCTAGATATGTTTTGAAATGCAATTTAAAGCATTTTTGGTTTTGATCATAGTAGGCTATTTTAAAAAAAATATCAATTTTATGTCAATATTAGCATTCTTTATCATTTATAATACCTAGAAATATTTTGAAATGCAATTTAAAGCATTTTTGGTTTTGATCATAGTAGGCTATTTTAAAAAAAATATCGATTTTATGCCTATATTAGCATTCTTTAACATTTGTAATACCTAGATATGTTTTGAAATGCAATTTAAAGCATTTTTGGTTTTGATCATAGAAGGCTATTTTAAAAAAAAATATCGATTTTATGCCTATATTAGCATTCTTTAACATTTGTAATACCTAGATATGTTTTGAAATGCAATTTAAAGCATTTTTGGTTTTGATCATAGTAGGCTATTTTAAAAAAAATATCGATTTTATGTCAATATTAGCATTCTTTATCATTTATAATACCTAGAAATATTTTGAAATGCAATTTAAAGCATTTTTGGTTTTGATCATAGTAGGCTATTTTAAAAAAAATATCGATTTTATGTCAATATTAGCATTCTTTATCATTTATAATACCTAGATATGTTTTAAAATGCAATTTAAAGCATTTTTGGTTTTGATCATAGTAGGCTATTTTAAAAAAAAATATCGATTTTATGCCTATATTAGCATTCTTTAACATTTGTAATACCTAGATATGTTTTGAAATGCAATTTAAAGCATTTTTGGTTTTGATCATAGTAGGCTATTTTCAATAAAATATCGATTTTATATCTATATTAGCATTTTTTTGTCATTTATAATACCTAGAAATATTTTAAAATGCAATTTAAAGCATTTTTGGTTTTGATCATAGTAGGCTATTTTAAAAAAAATATCGATTTTATGTCAATATTAGCATTCTTTATCATTTATAATACCTAGAAATATTTTGAAATGCAATTTAAAGCATTTTTGGTTTTGATCATAGTAGGCTATTTTAAAAAAAATATCGATTTTATGTCAATATTAGCATTCTTTATCATTTATAATACCTAGATATGTTTTGAAATGCAATTTAAAGCATTTTTGGTTTTGATCATAGTAGGCTATTTTAAAAAAAAATATCGATTTTATGCCTATATTAGCATTCTTTAACATTTGTAATACCTAGATATGTTTTGAAATGCAATTTAAAGCATTTTTGGTTTTGATCATAGAAGGCTATTTTAAAAAAAAATATCGATTTTATGCCTATATTAGCATTCTTTAT